GGTGAGCACGGTGGTTCATGCCTGTAATCTCAGCACTTTGGGAGGCGAAGGCTGGAGGATCGCTTGAGCTCAGGGGTTCGAGACCACCCTGAGCCACAAAGTAAGACCTTGTCTCCATAAAAAAATAAACAAAATTACAGCCTGGACTACCTAGTGAGACCTTGTCTCTACAAAAAATACAAAAATTAGCCAGGCGTGGTGGTGCACACTTGTGGTCTCAGCTACTCAGGAGGTTGAGGTGGGAGGATCACTTGAGCCTCAGAAGTTTGAGGCTGCAGTGAGCCAAAATTGAGCTACTGAACTCCAGCCTGGGCAACAAAAGTGAGACTGAAAAAAAAAAAGAACTCCCAAAGAATTTCCTAAGAGGTAGTATAGCCCAGTGGTTAAGAGTGTGGGAACTGGTCTCACATTTTGAGAATTTAAATTCCATCTACATATTGGCTGTGTCACCTCTAGCAGGTTACTTAATCTCTCTGTGTGCCCAAGCCCCTTATCTTGAAAGTAGAGATAGCAACGATCACCCTCCCAGGGCTGGTGTACTGGGGAGCTAAAAGAATCTACCTAAAACGACTGAGCGTGGTGGCTCACGTCTGTAATACCAGTGCTTTGGGAGACCAAGGCAGGTGGATCACTTGAGATCAGGAGTTCAAGACCAGCCTGGCCACCATAGCAAAACCCTGTCTCTACTAAAAAATACAAAAAAAATTAGCTGGGTGTAGTGGCATGCACCTGTAGTCCCAGCTACTCAGGAGGCTGAGGCACGAGAATTGCTTGAACCTGGGAGGCAGAGGTTGCAGTGAGCCAAGATCGCACCATTCCACTCCAGCCTGTGCGACAGAGCTAGACTCCATCTAAAACAAACAAACAAACAAAAAGAAGAATGCACCTAAGATGCTTGCCACAGTGCCTGGTACATAGTATGTGCTCAATAAAAGCAATAGCTGCCAGTATTATCGTTGTTGCAACTCTGGACTTTCACCTCTTCCTGGAGTAGGAAGGAAGATGGAGGCCTGTCATTGAGTCTGACGTCAGCAGTTATCATGCGTCAGCTGCTGAAGTGGGACCTTCCCTGGCTGGGTCACCCTGGGCCAACAATGTTCTTTCTGAGCCTCAGTTTTCTCAGCTGGAGAAGGGGATCCCTCTTGGGGCTGGTGTGAAAACTAAACTAGATAGGAGTGTACATGAGGTGCGGAAGTAGAACGTTGGGGTGTTGGTCCAAGCAGGCTTGAGACCCAGCTCAGCCACTTGCTTCTGGGTGACCCTGGGCAAATGGCTTCACTCCACTGATCCCTGACTTTCCCGCCTATGAAATAGGTCTGGGGTGGGTGGGGGGCATCTCTCAGTGAAGAGAAAACTCAGGTTTGAGGGTCATGCGGAGCTGTGTGCTCTGCTGCTACCACTTCCTGGTTGGATGACCTCACTTCTCTGAGCCACAATTTCCCAATTTCCTTTTTTTTTTTTTTTTTTTGGAGACAAGGTCCTAGGCTGGAGTGCAGAGGCATGATCATAGCTCACTGCTGCCTTGAACTCCTGGACTCAAGCGAAACTCTCACTTCAGCCTCCTAAGTAGTTGGGACCTAGGGGTGTGCACCACCATGCCTGGCTATTTTTTCATATTTCGTGTTTTTTGTAGAGATGGGGTCTTGGTCTGTTGCCCAGGCTGGTCTTGAACTGCTGAGTTCAAGTGATCCTCCTGCCTTGGCCTCCCAAAGTGGTGGGATTACAGGTGTGAGCCACCATGCTCAACCAATTTCTTTAGTTAATGAGAGGTATTTCAGAGCCCACTCATCACTGCCCTCGCCTCCTGAAATCTGTCTTTTCCTGTGTCTGTCTTTGTCTTTTTCTATCTCTCTGTTTTGTCCTTTTTCTTTTTCTCTGTCCCTCTTTATCTCTCTCAATGCCTATCTCTGTCTCTCCAACTCTATCACTTTCTCTGTCTGTACCTCAATCTCTGTATCTGTTTGTCTCTCTCTTCATGTCTTTCTATCTCTGCTTCTCCCTTTTCTCTGTCTTTCTCCATGGCTCTCTTTCTCTTTCTGTGTCATTGTTTCTGTTTCTGTTTCTGATTCTTTCTCTCTATCTCTCCCTCAAGTGACACACACACCTGTAAGGTTCTGCTGACGTGTAAAGGGAAGGGAAATGCAGGGATCAGGACTTGGACACTCTCCAGAAACACTGCAGGGATGTTGGCTCCTTCCTCCTCATGACTCACCTGGGCCTCACCCAGCTCTTGCCTGCCTGCGGGGTCATGGGTGAGGCCCATGGGTTTCGGGGGCTTCCCCAGCCTGTGGAGAGGAGAATTTCAGGCAGAGACAGAGAGGGTGAGAGAGTTGGAGGCAAAGAGAGGGAGAGACAGAGAGAGCTGGGGATAGAGATGGAGGTGGGGAAAGAAGGCAGAGGGAGAGAGAAGAGACCCACAGACAGACTGGTTCGGGGGAAATCTGAGATGGGGGTGTGGGGGGAGAGAGAGAGAGAGACAGAAAACAGCAACCGAAGGACAAGGACAGGGAGAAAGAAAAGTGGGCAAGCAAGGAGAGAGAGAAGATAAGAGACTGACAGGAGTTAGAGAAAACAACACACAGTTGCCTTCAGAGAGCACAAAATAGACACAGTGATACAGGGACACTGTGTGTGTGTGTGTGTGCGTGCATGTGAGTGTACATGCATGCGTGTGTGTGTGCACATGTGTTCGCGACGAACATAGGGCATTTACATTAAACAAATTCTTGTCACTACGAATACCCCCCTCAGTTAGTGGTTTCTTGTTCACCATCCTCCGTGAAATCAATATCCCGCACAAGAGTGCTACTCTCTTGTGCGTG